AGAACATGTGGCACCGGTGAGAGAGACAGATGAGACTAATGCTGCATGGCAGAACAGAGAGCGGGACTTTGCTCCCGTAAAGATGTCTTTTGACCTTGAAAACAGAAAGTGGGTCACAGCCAATAAGAAATGTTTGGCTGTGATAAAGAATACAATTGAGCCTGCAATAGTGGGCTCAATTCCAGACTGTGACACGGTCACAGAGTACCTAGAAAGAATAAAGAGTTAGTTCACTGGCTCTTCAAAGACATATGCAACCCAGCTGATCAAGCAACTGGTATAGAAACGTACTCTGGTGGCGGCAGTGGCATTAGAGAGCACATACTGAGAATGAGCAATCTGACATCTAAGCTCAAACCAATGGATTTGGCACTCAAGGATGAGTTTCTTATTCATTTGATTTTTGCTTCTTTGCCCAAAGAATTTGACACCTTTGTTGTTAATTACAACATACAACCTGAAAAATGGGTTTTAGAAAAGCTCATAGCCATGTGTGTGCAGGAGGAGGAAAGAATAAAAGTTTCACAGGGTGGTACTGTCAACTACCTAAAAGATAAGAAAAAGAACTATAACAACAGCTCTTCCTCCAAGTCATCTGGAAAGGGTCCCATGCAACAGTCTCAGAACAAGCAATTCCCAGTGGATAAAGACCAGTGTCTCTACTGTAAGAAGACGGGACATTATAAGAAGAATTGTCCCGATTTCCTAAAGATGATTATGAAAAATAAAGGTGAGAACATTATTACGTTCGTAAATGAATCATTGTATGTAAAGTTTTCAAAATCTACTTGGTGGATTGATTCAGGTGCAACTATTCATGTTGCTAATTCATTACAGGGATTCCGTTCGATGAGAACTTTGCAAAGAAGCGAAAGTTTTATTAAAGTCGCAAATGGAGTACAAGCAGATATTGAGGCCGTTGGCGATCTTCCGCTAGAGCTTGCTGATGGCTTCATACTTATTCTGAGAGATGTTCTTTATGTACCTTCTTTGCAAAGAAACTTGATTAGTGTATCAAAGTTGGACCATGATGGTTTTGATTGCCATTTTGGAAATGGCAAATGTCAGATATTGTTTAATAATAGATGTATTGGTCTTGCCTTCCGACAAGACGAGCTTTATTTGTTATCACTTCGTGAAAATGTGAATTCCGTATGTGATGTGAATGAGAATGTATCCTCATCGAACAATGCAAAAAGAAAACGAAAGAGAGCTCATGATGCGTTGTTGAAATTATGGCACTGTCGTTTAGGCCATATTTCGAGGGGGAGAATAGAAAGACTAGTTAAGAATGATATTCTTTCCCCATTAGAGCTCTCAGATTTAGAACAATGTAGAGATTACATAAAAGGAAAGTATATAAAGAAAATTAAGAAAGATGCCAAACGAAGTGCGTGAATTCTCTGATTATTCACACGTATATATGTGGTCCTTTTCCCGTGAAAAGTGTGGATGGTTATGATTCATTCATAACATTCACGCATTTATTACTCTCGCTTTGGCTATATTTATCCAATTAAAGAAAGAAACGTAAGCGTTGGATAAATTTAAAATATTTAAAGCGTAAGTTGAAAATCAGCATGATTTAAAGATTAAAATAGTCGTCCGACTGTGGGGAGAGTACTACGGTTTCGGCATATACCCCATATGGCCAAGTTCTGGACCTTTTGCAAGGTTCTTACAGAGAATGGCATAGTAGCCCAATATTCCACACCCAAGGCGAACCTCAAGCAGAATGGAGTAGCTGAAAGGCGTGAACTGTACACTCGATGGATATGGTGCGAGTATGATAAGTTACTCCACTTTACCGATGAGTTCTGTGGATGGAGGCGTTAAAACCGCCATTCATATTCTCAATAGAGTACCAAGTAAGTCGGTGCCTAAAACACCGTATGAGTTGTGGATGAAGAGTACCTCACTTAACCACTTGCGTGTGTGGGGGAGCCTCACTGAGGCTAAAGTTTTTAACCCAAACATTGGGAAGCTAGATCCCAAAATGGTGAGTTGCCATTTCATTGGCTACCCAGAAAAGTCAAAAGGTTTTCGTTTCTACTGTCCTAACAGACGTACAAAGTTTGTGGAAACGAGACACGCTGTCTTCCTAGAGGATGAAATGATTAGGGGGAGCATGGTAGCTCGAGAAATTGACCTTGAAGAGAAGCGGGTGTATGCACCCACTCCGATAATTCATGAGCCATTTTTCTCACTACCTGCTGTTGCTGCACCGACAGTACAAAACACTGTGGTGCCAGCACCTGTTGTTATCCCGCCTGTGGCAACAATGAATGATGATGAGGAACCTGTTCCTCAGGATCCTATAGAACCTATTGCCACACATGAGGGGGAGCAACAACAGCCTCAAACAGAAAATGTGCCAAATGAGGAGGCCCCTAGAAGGTCTCAAAGAGTTAGAAAATCAGCTATTCCTGCTGATTATGAAGTTTACAACACTGAGGAATTTCAAATGGAGGATGATCCCACCTCATTTGAAGAAGCCATGAAAAGTGATCATTCATCAAAGTGGCTTGAGGCCATGGAAGATGAAATGAGATCAATGAATACAAATAAAGTTTGGGATTTAGAGATAATTCCTAAAGGAGCCAAAACAGTAGGCTGTAAATGGGTCTATAAAACAAAACTCGACTCTCGAGGGAATATAGAGAGATATAAAGCCCGACTTGTGGCAAAAGGCTTTACACAAAGAGAAGGGATTGATTACAATGAGACCTTTTCTCCAGTCTCATGTAAGGATTCCTTCAAAATCATAATGGCATTAGTGGCACATTACGATTTAGAATTACATCAGATGGATGTAAATACGGCATTTCTCAATGGAGAATTAGAGAAAAATGTTTACATAGCACAACCGAAAGGTTTTGTCATGGAAGGAAAAGAACGTTTGGGATGCCACCTAAAGAAATCCATTTATGGATTAAAATAAGCTTCAAGACAGTTGTACTTGAAGTTTGATCAGACAATAAAGAATTTTGGGTTTAAAGATAATGTTGAGGACAATTGTGTCTACGCAAAGTTTAAGAATGGGAAGTTTATCTTTCTTGTCCTGTATGTCGATGATATCTTACTTGCTAGTAATGATGTCAGTCTACTACTGGAAACAAAGAAGTTTTTGTCCTCAAAATTTGATATGAAAGATCTTGGTGAAGCTTCGTTCGTTCTAAGGATCGAGATTCACCGAGATAGAAGTAAAGGGGTATTAGGACTGTCACAGAAAGCATACATAGAAAAAGTCTTAAAGAAATTCAGTATGCACAAATGTAGTCCCTCATCTGCCCTTATAGTCAAGGGCGACAGATATGGGGATTTTCAATGCCCCAGAAACCAATATGAGATCGATCAAATGAAAGTGGTTCCATATGCTTCAGCTGTCGGAAGCTTGCAATATGCTCAAGTATGCACGCGCCCTGACTTGGCATTTGTTACCGGGTTACTTGGCAGATTCCAGAGCAATCCTGGAATAGAACACTGGAAATTAGTAAAGAAAGTCTTGCGTTATTTGCAAGAAATGAAAGGCCTCATGATGACATATAGAAGATCTGATTCACTCCATATAGTGGGATATTCAGATTCTGATTATGCAGGAGATAATAGAAAATCTACGTCTGGATATGTGTTTAATCTCGCAGGGGGAGCTATTTCATGGAAAAGCTCAAAGCAAACCGTCACTACATCGTCCACAATGTATGCCGAGTTTGTAGCGTGTTATGAGGCAACGGGGCAGGTGAACTGGCTTAAGAAGTTCATACCCGGTTTGAAGGTGGTTGACGACATCAATAGACCACTGAAGTTATACTACGATAATAATCCAGCAGTACAGTATGCTCACAACAATAGGTCAAGTGGTGCTGCCAAACACATTGGCATAAAGTATTATGTTGTGAAGGATAAAGTTCGGGATCAAATGATAAGTCTTGAGCATATAAGTACCGAAAAGATGCTCGCGGATCCGCTTACAAAAGGCTTACCACCCAACGTGTTCAGAGAACATGTAGCCGGCATGGGTTTAAGGAAAAGCCTATGATTCCTGGACTATAAAGGGCCCAAAAGTTAAAGTAACTATTTCAGATCAGAGACGTGCATTGTAGCTGTTAAATCTATCGGCGATTGACCGTGATGATGAAACATGCTCTATGCATCATCTGTGAAGAAATGAGTAAGGATTAAAGTTTAAAGTTTAAAGATAAAAGTAATAGTGTGAGATCAAGGGGGAGAATGTTAGATTGATCTCCCAGCCAATAAGCCCAACGGCCTATTGGGCCTTGGTCACGCGTCCTGATCGGGGACGCCCAACCCTACATAGTTGGTGGACTCCCATCGCACTGCGCTATATAAAGAGGTGGGGGCCGGCGGCTCAAGGTACGAGGTTCACCGTGAGCCGCAAACCCCACCGACAAACCCTAGACCGATCTAAGAGGGCGCGCAGCCAGCGACGGGAAGCTCCACTGACTTCGCCGTCGTCACTGTTACGCCGCCCGTCTGCACTGCATCGACGTCCGTGCTACCTCTACTCCACCCGTCGTTGCCCGTGTGCTGCCTCCATCACCGAAGCTGAGATGGTCGGCTCCGCGACTCCCTCCGAGGGCTCAGGATCAACACCAACACCTCTCTCTTTATCTCTCCGATCTTTCCCCTCTGTTCATCCCGTATTCAAAGGAACAAACCCTAGATCTACTGCTAGAGATCCTAACTGAACTTAACAAATCCTTCTTCCTTCATGGTAGCTGCTGCTGAACGCGGTGCGAGAAATGACGTCTCCAGTGAGGTTCTGCAGCTCAGGCCAAACATCCAGCTCGCACGAACCGTCAGAGCCGAGGGACTCCGCCCATCTGCTTACCAGCTCTTCGCAGCACGCATAGAACGCTGGCAGCATGCGCTGCACAATTCGCAGTAACAAATTCATTCCAAGAATCAATTACATGATGCAATAATATATACAAGAAAAGGAAACGAAATTAGCATCGTATCAGAAGTTTTGTGTGTACCTTGAGCTTCTCAAGATGGAAAGCAGGATTGAGGATCCTCCTGTGTTTGACCCACTTCTCACCCTCGTGGCTGGCCACGCCGTCGCCCAGCATCTTGGACAGCGCCGGGAACTTGAGCTTCTCGAAGTGGCCGAACTTGTTGGACAGCACGTCCTTGGCCAGCTCAGGATCGACGATGGTCACCTTGGGGCTGGGGCCAAACCAAGACATGCTCGTCTTCCCGTGCTCCTGGACAAGCTGATGCACAAACGGCGTGACCCGTTGTGCGATGTCGTGGCAACGCAGCGGCAGGGGCTTAGACCAGGCCTCCTTGGCCAGTCGGCCGTATTCCTTGAGGTCGCCGGTGGGGAATTGGTACGACGTGCCGTGGATGCCCTGTGCACGCAGCGCGCGCTCCAGACGCCGAGGCTGCCACCACAGCTGGTGCAGGAGCCGCCCGGCCTGCCACAGGAGCACCAGGCTTGTGAGACCACCGAGCAGGATGATCCATGGCACTGAGGCAGTAGCGGCAAACGACGCTTCAAGAACCATTGCTTTGACGAGAAGATAGAGTGGTATAAGAAAGAGACTGTAATTTTAAGCTAGTGCGATCGAGTGGATTTGACTTGAGATGGGTATGGTACGGCATTTGGGGTCAGGTTAAATAGAGGTGCCGCTTTGGCTGGACTAGTCTCTTGTGCTCATTTGTTAATTAAGGTGAGTGCGAGACTGATGGCAATCTGGTCAGCCATGCCCATGCCTTGCTCCAAAGGTACTTGGTGGAGAAGGTATTGAATCATTGGATTGGTGTGGAGGCAATGACGCTCGATCGGGCCGCGGACGGCGCACCGGCCCTTTCCTCGCTGCTTCCTCCTGTTGGCTGTTGCTATGAGCTCAGAGTTTGTCTCTAAGACTGCATTGACTTCGAAGCAGGGCAAAGTCAGACTGCCATCTTATCTTCCCGTTTTTAATTACTAGTCCCCCACATGCTCGGCGTTAGATGTTGATTTATCTCCTACAACTAAAAACAATAAAAGTAAGACAATTTTTTGGTGCGACTTTTTTTGAGGTCGCTCCTCCTTCCCGTCCGTGCGATACCGCATCACGCGCTCCACTCCATCCTCCCCCGCTGCCAAATATCGCGGCCATCTCCCCCAATCACGCCCGTGCGATCCCACGCACGCCACACCACGCGACCATCTCCGACGCCACCGTGCGCGACGTCCCTACGCAACCGCGCACGCGCCACAGACGCCGCGGCCACAGCGGCCGCGCCGCCGCCGCCGGAAGGCCTTTCCCGGCCGGTGCCGCCGCCTCTACGCCGCCGTCGCGCATCCCGAGCCGGCTGCGCCGCCGCCGGAAGGCCCCACAGCCATGCCCATGCGTAAACTTTCCCCTTCTCCCACAACTCCATCCACATGGCCTCCTCCCGTGGCGGTGGCAACGCATCCTGCTACCATCGAGGAAGTGCGCTGCCTCCACAGGAAACGGCCAGATCCGATGATGGCGTGGGCGTCCTCGCTCCTCGAGGCACGGGCGACCCCCCTCCGAGATCCATGACGACGCGGGTGGGTCTCTTTCTGAGGTGGAGGGGGATCTTTGAGGGGGCGGTGGGAGGAGCATTGGTGGTGCTAGAGCTACTGCTCGCGGCCGTGGGTGTGGGGGCATGCCGGGGGGAGCACGAGGCCGCCGGAGCCGGGTGGCAGGTGGGGAAGGAGGAGGATGCCACGGTGGGGCTAGGGAGATGGAGATAAGCTGCCCCACGGATGTCCGCCACATCACCAGGTCACCTTCGACTGCTTTCATGGATTCCTCGACATCCTGTCATGTTCAAGGATGAGATGCCTGCTGCGTCCCCAACACTAGCGTCAGCGTTTCAGTGTCTCGACCTCAATCAGTGCAATGCATCCTGTTCATTTGTTTCTTTACTTTTAAATTTTGTTTGACAATTGTAGTTATCCAACTACACATTTCAGTTTGATGATAAACTGAAATTAACCGAATTACAAGCCAATACCAACATCTTTCCTTTTTTTTATCTTGTGACGCTCACTGCTTGTAACAAACGTGCAGGGCCATTAGGGTGAGCTACTGAGTTCAGTTCTAGACTGTTGCAATACATTGCCTTTTTTTTATTTGGTTCAAACTAATGTTTGAAAACTGAAACTGTGGCTCGCCTGTATAGGATAACACATACAAATTCAGCAGTGTGACATGTAGATCTTCTAGTATAGGTGTGTTCCTTCTGTCTATTGTTCTACATAGCTATACCTTCTTGAGTAGTGGTATTGCCATGGCATAGTTGTGTAGAGCTACTTATAGTTAATTGTCTGTTTGCTTTGGTTGAGAATGTCAGCACATGTGTTCCATCACAAATCGAGTTTGTGCTGTAGTAGAGTGCAGACAAGTTATTCAGTCAGACTCTATAGAGTACCACAAGTTTCTCCATTGCCTTCAGATAGTTGATCAGATATAGAGATGATAATTCATGACAAAATGATTGATCGATTTGAATATTATTTTCTTTTTTTGTTTTTATATGGCAGCAGTTCTACTTGTCACTTAAGAAGCAAGAGGTTGTTACTGATTGCACTTGTAGATTCAATACTTTGAGTTTGTTTAGATAATCAAGCAATGCAATGCATGTGGGTTGGCTTTCTGCATGTACCATTTTCTTTTGTTTCCTGGTGCAGGATAGGTTTGTTAACGCACTGCCATGATCCGTCGCTCTCATGTTTAACTGACAGATTACCAGTGAGTTAAAAGATAGAGAATTCGTTTTTCTTTCTTTCTTTCCGAGAACATGCTGGAGGGCAGCGTACCTTTATCTAGACTCATGATACGAATGGTGTTCAAGATTGGGAACAAGAAGGAACTTCCGCCAATATCATATCACCTTTTGGAGCACTGCAAGGACTTCATTAGGAAGTGATCATGGTCCAACGTCAATTGAGCTTTTGCAACACCTGTTCATACAAAATGGGATTTCCTTTGAGAAATCTGTAGCTCCTAATCCTTTGGAACATATGGCTGACATCCTGAAGACCAAAGCCCAAGGTGCCATCTGAATACTACTATTCTCATTTGATTCTTCAGCTCAAAACTGATATTCTGAGCCAATGCAATTCAAGTCAACAAAGGTATGCCCTTATCCTAAATTTACTCTGCATCTATTTTACAATGTATATTCATTTACACACCTATGTAGGATCAAACTATTATAAAGCACATGTAGACTCAGTGTCATACCTTTCTGGCTGCTAGGAACATGTAGTGTTAATGCAACATTGTTCTGAATATTTTCTCCTTCGCTTGGTGTCCTTTGATCATTCTATCTATTGTATTTTATCTTGCGAATTAAAAATAATCTGAATTCTGCTTTGATATTTGTGTTAGATGCCGTCTTATATGCATGGTTCCTGTAGCTATGCACCTGTTTGTCATAGTTCATATTTATCTAGCATGTACAGGGATTTGCTTGCATCTACTTTGTATTTCAACTTTAGCTTATTGAACATGACAGTTATCGAAGATACTGAAGATTTTTTTAAAAAAAATTCTCATGTTCTGTGATTGCAGATTCTGCCTATTCCTACATGGCGGAGTAAGTCTCCTTATCATACTAAATTGGCATGCTAACAAGTGTCAAATGATGGTACTATGTATATTGGATTCCCATACTGAATCACTTAAGGACCAAAATCAGTAACTCCCCATTTGAATACCCCTCACCCCGATATGTAACATATTCTTGGCGTCCTGATGCCAGTGTACATAAGAAATCTCAATTCTCAACTAGGAGCCTAGATTTAGCCATTCAACAATCAGTGCCAATTTATCGGTTCCTCCACAGTTAAATATCACACCCATGGTTGAGGTGGTGTTGCAAGTCCATTCAGCATTGATGAAATAATTTTGTATCGACAAACTGAGCCAATTCAGTGCCAGCTTCTCGGAATTTGTTCTCTATAAAATTGGATTGATTCCTATGAAATTCTTACACAATTCATGTGATTACTTTGTAACTTTCTATACAGTAATGCCATACGGGGCCCACCTATAACATTTGCTAATCTTAACAAGTTCACAGAACTACTTGTTCCTTTGTTCTGACAATTTTATGCGCATATTGCTCAGTTCTAAATTAGGGTTGATTAAATCAGCTAAATCACTGCGACTATTTTTATTTGGTAATTCTATTCTACAAAACAAAACTAATTGATTTTATCAGTGTTATAAAAATAAAACAAAGCTTAGTTATAATGTCAAATGTTTTCGTAGCAGATGTACCGGTACCAATCAAGAAGCAATTCAACATTAGATTTCTATACTTCAAATTCAAGATTTTTTTTTGTATAATGCAAGGTCAGATGTACATCAGGGTCAGCTTAGTTATAAATTTACATTATGTGTCTGACTGTTGGTTACTGCTATTGTTTATAATTTTCTTCTCTTGCTTATTGCCTGAATAGGCTTCAACATTTTACATGGATATCATTTCATTGGTTGGTAGCACCAAGGATTAGTAAGGATAGGTTGGAAATCTTTTTGATGATATATTGTCAGGTTAATGCTTACAGTTATATCAAACAATGCAGTTTTTATTGTAGTTGCTGGCTTGCTACCAAATAAAAAGCATTAGTTTATATTGTTGTCTTGTCAACAATGGACAAGGATTAGCTTTAGTATTCTTCCTATGTGAACAAAGGAAATCCAAAGTCTAAGTCTTTTATAGAAGCATATATAAAGTTTATTTCAGAAATATTTCCTACCGGCCAATAAAATTACTAAATTGTTCTATATTATATAACACTATAATTGATGTGTGTACCCTGCAGTGAGAGGACCTGCTCCCCTAGCACACACCATGTGTTGTCATACTTCAGCATTTCAGCCATCCTGTTTGACCTGTTCAATATTCTGTTGCAGTTCCTTTGCAGTAGGTCATGACAAATTAGTGAATTACCTAATTAGACAACCAGCTCTGCTCTATATATCATAATGATGTTTATTTCAGTTCTATTACTGAATTCCTATGCTGCTTATTTCAGTTTTATGTATGTTTCTAAAATGGCTCTCATTCTAGACTAAAGTGACTATGGTTTCCAAAGCATGAGCTTTTTTAGTTCTGCACCGTGGTTCAGTGACCCTCCAAAAGTTGTTTTCAAAGAGAAAAAAGTTGTTTTTAGTCTACCTGCAGAGCATTAGAGGTTATAGAAAAATATATGTTTTAGTCCATAAATATCCATGGTGAGGGTTACATAGATGTGCATTGATCCTTGCTGCTGTGATCTGCTCTTTTGGTGCTTCTACATTAGCTTTCTATTGTGAGAAATCTTTGGGAAAAAAGCAATGACATACTTTTCTTTTGCCATTTATTTTTCTCTCTTTCTGGATGGTCAGTAATAACTCTCCAGCTAGAAAATCCATTGAAGGCAACATGTAGCAGCTGCTGCGCTGCTCGCCATTTCTGTCGATTGCTAAGAAAGACAACTTTACCTTGCACCTGTGTCGGAACTGTCCTGTACCAAATGCCAATCCATTTGGACACT